ACCTCATCCTCAAACCCCCTCGTCCGCAACGGCAAACACCACCCGCCGCCCTCGTCCAGGGATCCAGCACCAACCTCCGACTCGGTGTTGTTCTTGCGGATCCGCGCTGCGGCGGATTACTTCTCGCTTGACAGGGCGCTCATGGAAAATGTGCCCCCTGTGCTGGCGGATGTGATCCTCGATCCGTTCCTGTGGAATGTTTTCCCGCGGTCTCTGGTGCCGACGGCGGGGTATGTGTGTGTTGTGGGGACGGTGGCTGTCTTGCTTGCGAGGTGGGTGATGGGGGTGTTTGGGGGGATGGTAGAGCGGGAGGTTGGCGAGAGTACGACTGTTGACGGTGATGAAAAGAAGACGCGGTAGGTAGGGGCTGTTAGTTGACCTGCATGGCTCTGGTTATCATTTTTGTATAATATGCTGCTGTGTATTTCTTATGCTAGGCCTAGGGAAGATAGTCTTGATATAGTCAACGTTACAGCTACCCCCTTGGTACATCATGATTGACTCTACGGCATTAATCTTAATTACAGTTGGAGTGGATGACTTTGCAGTAGTAGATTGTATTATGGGACAAGTATGACTGGACAGAGCAAAACATGTAGAAAACGATAAATCACAGACATCAGGGGGAATAAAGGGCATCGACAAAAATGGGTCCTGAAGCAACATGAAAAATATTAGGCACATGCATGGTTCTAGATCATTCCTAAATATCTCGCCTCGAACCAAAAGTCTACTGCTGGAAATATATCATAAGTGCATCCATCGTATCCACAAATCGTGTCATAACATTCCTCGTGAGTGTATTTGAGCATGAGCTGATCGGCGGGTCGGGCTTGGTACATCCGCCACTCTAGTCTTCAAAGAAGTGCAGAACAGCCCGAATACCCCTGGAACCCAGTCCATGCGGTGGGTATGCGATGTAGAGAGGTTCGTCATGAGCCCCCAGCTTGGCCCTGAATTCACTCTTGCGCACGAGATGGAACTGCTTGGCCAGAGTCTCATAGGTGTGCTGGAGCATCTTGATCTTGGCTCCGTGCAGGTTATGACCGGGCGTCAGTGTGGTAGTTGCACCGGCTCCGAAAGTGAGTGACTTGGTGCCGGCCCTGGCAGCTGTTTGGATGGCATGAGTCACGATGTACTCAATGACCCCATTGGGAGAGCCTGGAAAGTCGAAGCTATACTTGACCTGCATGCCGAAATGGGGAGACAGCATGGCCAAGGCAACAAAGGCACAGATGGTGCCGGACTTGTCCACAGCGTAGAAGTACCAGCGGTGCTCCGAATCACGCCAAGGATGGATCTCAGACAGATGCACCTGAGTGCCCTTACGATTCGCCAGCCAATCCTGGATCCGCGCATCAATCTTCTCCCGGGCGTCGTCGGGGACCATCTCGCCGTACTTCATCTCCACGATCTTGATGCCCTCATTCTCCGCGCGCCTGATCTTCCGTGCAATCTCGCCATCGGACGCGGCCTGGTTACGGGACGGATCCACACGCTCCTCAGCAATGCAGGACAAGCTGCGCCATCCGAGCTTCTCGCCCAGAATAGTCTCAACTTCTGGAGAGCAAAGAAGCCAGATGGGTTTGTACTTGGTTTCACGTCGCATCCACTGCAGGAACTGCGTGATGACGCGGTTGTACTGCGAGGGATCACATAGAGGGTTGCCGGGAATCACCGCATAGTTGCTACTGCTAGGGACGTATGAGACGGCGGCGCCGGTGGCCATGTCTCGCCAAATCTTGAAACGCTCATCGCCCCATGAGGTGGACGTGGCATCTCCGTAGTTGGCGATCAGGTGCTCCAATGGCTGCAACTCGCTTTCGTCCTTCGCAAGTGATCCACGTCCCTCCCGTTGCCACGGTGGCTCAATAGTGGACGATTCGGGATGACGAAGCAGCAAAACCGGGGGCTTAGGCGGGAAACTCTTGGGGTCCCGATGGAAGAGCGACGCGAGACGAATGTTGCCCAATTTGAGAAGAAGCATCAGCAACCGCTCCAGGCCAACACCGGCTCCAGCGTGCGGAGGAGCGCCCCAGCGGAAACCCTCCAAGTAATCCTCCATCATGTCCGGATTGATGCCCGAGCGCCGCATGCTTTCCTCCAGCATACGCGGGTCGTGGATACGCTGCCCGCCAGAGACAATCTCCTGGCCTCGAATAAAGATATCAAAGGAGTTGGTGAAGCGCGGGTCTTCGGGATCGGGCATTGTATAAAACGGACGAGCTGCGACCGGAAACTTGTCAAGAATGTAGTAATCGGTCCCATACTTCTCCTTGACAAGCTCACCCAACCGTATCTCGTCTCGTGTATGCAGGTCATCGTCTTCAGGCAGTGGGTTGCCATCCTCATCACGCCATCCGGACTCGTTGAGCATCTTGATACCATCCGAGAATCGGATGATGGGTGTCTCTTCGAGCCACACAACGTCCTCCGAGGGAAACTGATGCTTGACAATCTCGATCTCGCGGCGGTAGCGGCCATAGACACCCTTCAGCATGTTCTTGATCACTGCATCCAAAACGTCCAACATCTCGTGATAATGCTCCTCGATCGCCATCTCGATATCGAGACCCGTATACTCTGTCAGATGGCGGTGGGTGTTGGAGTTCTCGGCCCGAAATACAGCGCCGATCTCGTACACTCGCTCAAAGTCGGCTGCGATAGCCATCTGCTTGGCGAGCTGGGGACTCTGGGCCAAGAAAGCATCGCGACCGAAATAGTTAACTTGAAAGACACTGGCACCGGACTCAGTGGCAGTGCCTTGCAGCTTGGGGGTGTGGATCTCTATGAACCCTTGCTCGTCAAGGGAGGATCGGAAGATATTGCAGAGCGCAGACTGAAGGCGGAAGATGGATTGCGACGTCGGAGTGCGCAAGTCCAAGATACGGTTGTTAAGCCGTGTACGGTCCGGTAAGTGACTGCGGCGGCCTTCTACCCTGTCTTCCTCTGCGGTGCGAATTTCGGCCTCGTAGACGCTAAAGGGAACAGGTTCCTCGCGGTGGACGACCAGGTGAATCTGTTCGACATCAAGCTCGACGTCATGAATAGTGCAGCCCAGCACTGGCACCTGGGGCGCTTGAACAATGCCGCGCACGCGGACGATGGAACCCAGGCGTAGATGTTCGGCCCACTGAATCATCGCAATGGACTTGGCCCCAGGTTTCTCGTGAAGGACACCTTGGAAGGTAGTGAGACGTTGACGGAAGATGAGGAAGACTAGCTTCGAGCTCATCCGGCGTATAATGTGCAGGCGGGCTGTGAAGAAGATTTCCTGGCCGACACTGCTCGAAGAGATATCCTCCAGACGATTCCGAGGTTCTCGCGGACGACTAGTGGACTGAAGCATGGGCAGCTCTCCATAGCGAGCCTTCATGTCGTCTGTCTCTTCGCGAGCCGCCTGTGCGATCTCTTCCTTGTGGCGCCGCTCGGAGTCATCCGATTGTTGTTCCTCGCTGAGTCGACTGCGCTGTTTTCGACGCTGTTCGCGAGCCAAGCGCTTCTGCTGGTTTTTGCTCAGAGAACCCGAGCCAGAATCGTCGGAGACATCGTCAGAGGAAGAAACATAATCGCGATCGCGTAAGAAGCTACTGAAGATGCTGCGACGCGGCGAGGGGGACACATGAGATAGGCTTGTTTTGCCCGAGTCGTCATCGGCCTTGGGCTTGATTTTAGACAAAGCACGTTTGATGGACATGGTGACGGATGAGAGACCACCTAGATTGTCAATGGAGGTGTACAGTTAGGTAGGTGGCCAAAAATCATCCGAGACCAGTTAATTGGTTTATAAAATGAGAAGAATCTGAAGGACCAGAAGGAAAACCTCGTACCAAAAAGAAAAAGTACGACGGGGGAGTAGGAATATAAGAGTAAGCCTTTGGACCTTAGTAAGGTTAGCTCTAGGAAGCAATCGGAATGTAAAGGAACACGAGGGGAAAGTAAATCAGCCACAGGAGTGACTAGGATCAAGGAGGATTATTACCTTATGTATTAGTTGCTTAGATGCATGGAATGGAAGAAGAATATGATGATGACTCCCTGACGAAGAGCGATCGACAGTCTTGATAAAATCTTAAGGAAGTGCCTAGAGAGGTACTAGGCAAGTATTTCTGAGAATATCCCCTGAATTTCAGGGATGTTAGGTAATTTCGAAGCTTTCTCACTAAGCAATTGATAGAGAGCGCAACCAAGAAACGAAGATCTCAGAACAAGAAGAAGACCGAGAAGCCGACCAGAAAAACGCTGGTGGTGATGTCATCGCCTGGAGGAAATGTGACGCATGTGTCAGCCTTAATAGAGGGGCAGACACTTTGCCATCGGCCCATGGCTGTAGATATTTTATACTATCTTACCATAATCAGATACTGTCTTATTATCAATTTACAATTTTACTATTTACTTGATAGAGATCATACCACTCAATTGTCAGGTAGCTAGGTTTTTTAATGCAATTGAGAGTACTTGCTACGGATATAACCGACCCTTCCACCTACGTAACTTCAGGGTCGCCCGCTAGAGTACTACTCTGTGCATCGGCATCAAAGAGCGAGGTCCGAGGAATAAAAATTTCAATTAATTGACACTATTTTTAAGACACACTAGGATGCAAACTAGGCATTTTCTGATATCATCCATACCTCAAGAAATGAACCTTGTGCAAGCCCATTTCTGTCACTTATCACATACTAAAATGATGTACTCCGTATGGTACTTTAATCTCCTCATCATCTGACACTTTCTGGATTTCTTGGCTGGCGTCTTGTCCACTCTGAACATCATACCGACTTCTTCCTTCATTCCCAACTCCCATGATCCCTCGGTTCACTTCATCCATATCCGATCTCAACATTCACATTTTCCTCTGTTTATTATTAGGTTTCGGGCCTTCAGTGTACTGACTTAGGTAATCGCTCCCTTAGGGCCAAGTCCCTGTCGGACCTTTCGCTTCCCGCGTATGCATCTAGACTCGTGGCGATCATCGTTGTACTAGATCAACGTCCATGGCCTCTCATGCCCCTCCTCGATGGTGGCTCTACATCCAGGCCGTCTTTTGGCGGTTCCTGATGCGAATAGGAATGTTCTTTCACGACTTACCGGCTCCCCGTCCTCCCCGTCCAGTCTTCGTCCGATCCGTTCGTTCCGGCAACTCGCAGATCCGTCTGCATTTCTACTGTCCACCTGACTACCAGAAGAATCGGAGAGAGGGCCGCCGACTACCCGTAGTGATTAACTTTCACGGAGGCGGTTTCACACTGGGATGTCCCACCGACGACTCCCGCTGGGCTCAGTGCATCCTGGAGGACGTCGGAGCAGTGGTAGTCAGTGTCGGGTACCGTCGAAGTCCAGAGCATCCGTTCCCCGCTGCTGTAGATGATGGTGTGGAAGCACTGCAATATCTGGCCGCCCATGCCGCCGAACTGGGGTTGGATGTGACCCGAATTGCTCTGAGTGGTTTCTCAGCGGGCGGCAATCTAGCTGTCACTGTGCCTCTACGGCTGCGAAGCCTGATGGCCAAGGAGCAGCATGATCCCCCGCTCGATCGGGCGAATTCGGCGCAACAGCTTCTTGATACATCGGGCGATATTAGCATCGTCGCTCTCTTCTGCTGGTACCCGATCCTGGACTTTGAGGAGTCGCGTGCTTTCCGCCGCGCGGCGAGCATCATGCCAGAACAGACGCTTCCGAAGTTCCTGACCGATCTATTCGATAACTCCTACCTGCCGAATCATGAACACCGTCGCTCGCCCTACGCATCACCGGTCCGAGCGACAGACGAGATCTTGAGCGACGCTTTACCCCACGATATCTTTCTGTACATCTGCGAATGGGACATGCTGATGAACGAGGGCCAGCTGTTTATGCGGCGACTGAAAGATTCCGGCAAACACGTTCGGGCTATGATGATTGAAAAAGCCCGACATGCCTGGGACAAGTCGCCGAATCCCTTCCGGGATCAAGCCAAGGTCAATGTTCTCTATCGCGATGCCTGCGCGGACATGAAAGCGATCTTTAACAAATAGATCTCGCGATACAGAATCAGTATCTTCATGTGCCATACTTCTTTCTTTCCTGTCCATGACCCTCCCTTATTCGAGCGTTTGTCCATCATTATACGGAGCCATTGGAGGGGAAATGCGCTACTCCTGACACTGTCCCCAATCTATCGGTTTAAGGCGTCATAGATGTAAACTATCCTCTAACAACAACACTAACAAATGACTATCTATGAATGACAACATCGACCCTTCTCAATCAGATAGTATCTAGCAATTAAAACCAGGAAGGTAAACAGCCTCCAAGTACCGTACTTTGTAGATCTCAACATCGGCACTCCCACCCACCAACCACAATCTCCTTCCTCAGCACCCTAATATTCATGTCCATTTCCATGTCCATGTCCATGGTAATATCGCCATTTTCCTGTTGACAGGTTCTCATCCCCAGAGCCGAAGCTTATGGCCGCAGATCTGGTACCATGTATCGGGTGCAGGCATGCTATGACATCATTCTTGAGTATCGCAGATTCCTCTGTAAGTACCTCTGTACCGAGGTCCACGATACGAGGCTTCGCCGCATTCAATACTCATGGACTTCGAAGTGATGGTTGACTCGACTGTAGAGAATAAATCAGGTTTATAGATGCAGAGGGAATATAAGGCAGAGGGATGTAGCAGCTGAATCCTTGAGGTTGCCATGTGGCAAACATGCGATGTCTACAGGATACTGGCATTGGTTGTATTGATTTTCGAATGTTTATTCCATTTAGATAGTTCACTACATTCACATCATAGCGCCATATCGAGTCAAAATGCCATCGTAGTAAACACCAAGGAACAGAACATGGCTGATATCCGAACAAGATACAAAACGAGATCACACCCATACGCCACGCTAACCAGCCATGCATGATGGTAAAGAAATGGATAAAATCACTTTTTTCTGCTTTTTCGGATCAAACTCGTCCAGACACGGCCGAGATGCAAGAAATGATAAAGACGCTGTGGGGTATTGAGCATGAATAGAAAAAATCGAACAAGGCTTTTTTGTTTCAGAGTATTCAGTCGTCTTCGTCGGTCCCAGTGACGTCGCTCAGGTCTCCTTCGGATTCGCTCCCGTCGAGGTCACTGTCCGAATCGCCCTCGTCCTGGTCGTCCACGCCAGGGATACCGCGCCAGTGGACGTAGTCATTCTCCAGCCAACGGCGGCTGCGAGGTAGCTGGTATGGGTCAAAGGGAAAATAGGCATCAAGCTGATAACCCAGATCATCGCCGGCACGAGTTTCTCGCTCGACATGGCTGAAGCGCGGGTCCGCCATGGCTGAGATGCTCCGGAACGAGGAGACGCGCAGTCTTTTGTTCGTCTCGAGGATGCTGAACACGTACATGAAGTTGAGGTGCTGAGCCATACGGGCGAATTCAGACACAATCGCCGGCGAGCAGACCTTGAGGGGGTTCAGTTTGGAATGGACCGCTTGGTGGAGGACCTCCTTGACCGATGGAGGGAACGTGATTTCTTCTGGCTCCAGTTCATCAATTTGTTCAGGGGTATCGCCCTCCATCGCTGCGGTCGTCAGGTCTCGCCAGCGGAAGCAAAAGATATACAGCAATGCCTGTGCCGTAGAGTAGAAAGGGCCGTAGCGGCGTAGATCAGGGCCTCGACAGGTGGCTTCATAGTCAAGACGGAGGTTGTTCAGATGTGTGCCTAGGAGGTCAAAGACATCTCTTACGACCTCGCCAGAGATGTGCGCACCACGAGCAACGAAGCTAGCGAGGTAGGCTGCTGCGGACTGCCGTAGAATCCCAGGTTGCATCTTATTGAAGATGAGCTGAACACAGGTGGCGGCAAATCGATCCACCAGAATTGGCGACGATTGGGAGAAGTGGAAGAGGAGGAATTGAGAGTGGCGGGAGCGGTAGGTCGGAAGGATAATGCTCTGGAAATGGCTCAGAAGTAAATCAAGTGCATTCTCCTTGTCATCCAAAGTGCCCGTCGCGAAAGGCGGGGCGTAGTATTCAAACAGCGAATCGATCATGCCATCCAATTTGAGTATGTTATCTTTGATGGTCTTGACTCGCCGGGACTCCACGTCTAGGGAATCATCGCTAGCGACGGATGCATTGTCGTCAACTTCATTCTCGTCATCCTCCAACATCGTGGCTTCAGGCGAGACTGCGTGGAGAACATCCTCGCCCACTTCGTCCTCGATGTCTTCCATATCTACCTGAATCTGCACATCGATCTTCACGACTTTCTCCGTGATGAGAGCTAGAATGTCGGCTTGGAGCTCGGGGGCGTAACTGATGACCTTTAGAAGATTCCGCGTGTACGCAATGTTGGCCTTTGCGGAATCCGTATCGAAGGGAAACTGCATAGACAAGATGGGGGATAGGGTCCCACTACCAGAAGGAATCAACTGCATCACATGACGGAGAGCCATGTGCGTTCTGCTATAGATCTCTGCAGCTTGGACTGGGGCGTATCCAGGCAGCTTGCCCGTCCCCTTTGGGATCTCCCCAAAATTGTTGGCCAGCATCTTCAAGACCGCCCCGAGATAGCTTCCCTGGGCTGCCGCAAGGTTACCTAGAAATCGAACGTACAACTTGATATACGACTCATCCCGCCCGAGCCATTCACTGTGCAGAACTGCATTGACCAAGCCGTTGCAATTGCGATCCAGCGACGCAACATTCGACAGAAGACCCATGAGGTGATGCTTCAATGTAGTGTGCGTCGGTAAATCTTCGGAAGGCAAGCCATCTTCGTCCAGACGGCGAGGATCTGCTGAGAAAATCTCCTTGATGCGATCGTAGGCTTCGCTGTCCGTTCCAGAGACATGCCGCTGGATAGCTCTGCGCACTTCTTCACGAACCACGGCCGCGCTCTTTTCCGTACTCACGGCCATTCCTTTCTCTTGACCACTCCAGGACGCTTCTCTCATTTCCACATCCTTATCAAATTGAACCCGAACCCGCTTCCTTGGACTGGGCGTGCCATCGCTGCCGTCGGAAGCAACCGAGGACGAGGGTGACAGCGAAAGATCCATGTCGGCCAACTTGTGTTTAGCTCCGGCAGCTGCCGCGCTGTTCGTCTTGGAATTTTTCAAAATGGGCACTGGCGAGGGGTTGGCCAGCATTTTGGGAGGGTTGACTGGTTTGATCGCCCCGGTAGGGTTGCGCGCAGCGGTGGCGAAGGAGACCATGACAGTCTCGATTTTATCGGGAAGAAGGTTGGGGTGAGGTTGGTCGACGCGAATCCGAGAGTCGTGTCATTTGTTGCTCTCGCCTTCAAGGACAAGAGAAAGGAAAGGTCTTAGTGGGGGTCTCCTGACTCCTGAGAACTATTCAGGATGATAATGCCGATGAGAAAACCAGAGCACACGACACGGCCAGTGCCTGTTGAAACCGTGGTCCACTCTGGAGTGCTACTGAAATTAATAATGGGCGCGCTGGGGGAAAGCTGACGTTGAAGGCAGCTTCATCTGTCTGCCTGATAAATAGCAATCTAAGATGATGTAGTAATGACTGCTATATGCGGATAGGCAATGAAGATTGAGAGCCGCCCTGAAAGCGAAGACGAGAATGGTTGAAACCAGCAGAGGATTGTACACTGGAAATTTTTCGTTCTGTGGGGCGGTGTGGAGTCTTGAGTCCCTCTGACTCGTGATCCGCGCGTGACCAACGCGTGACCCAAGCTTCTTCGTCGCGAAACCCTAGTTACGTTTTTCCTGCTTAGGTAACAAACATATCGTTAACTATCTGCTCGTGATAATACTCAGGTTACACCAGTTACACCTGTACACAGATCGATGAGCAGATTACCTATAATGATTTCTGAAACGACAGAATGATGTCATGGACATGGTAGCAAATATGGATTGCAACAGAACTGCATTGTTCATCACATGTCCTTTTTGTAGCAGATCCACAACCTGTACGGAAATAAATGACTGCAGTGAGGTTCATGATATTTACATACAACGCGAGTAGATGGAAACCACCTCATGGTATATAGCGGGCAAAACAAAAAAGGGTTGAAACCGAGAAACAGAAACACATGGCACACATAACGATTGAATAAGGTAGGTCGTAACACAGTCGGAATTGATGGGAAGGAAATTCCAGTTCTCCTTCTCCGGTTCGAATTACGCAGAGCTGAGGATATCACAAATGATGGTGCAGATCGAAGCGAAATCCAAGAATCTCAAAGCCAAGACCCAGTGGCGACTGGCCCGAGATGATCGTCGAAGATGCTCCCATAGAGTTCCTCTATCTCAACAAGATAGTCGTTCGCTGTAAATTTCCTCAGTCCCTTGTTGAGCAAGATCATCTCCTCCTCGTCGAGCACGCGATTAGCGCCGCTGTTGAACTCCTCTGCCACTTCATTGACCTGCTCCAACTCCTTCCCGAACGGATGGGGCTCCGGTTTGAAGAAATCTTGGGTCGTTCGGATTGAGGGGCTGCTGCGCATGGAGTTCAGTGGTGGCGGAGACAACCGTGACAAGGAACGCTGGCGAGCCAACTCTTGGTGGGACCGTTTCGTATGCGATAGAGCACGTTTGGGAACCAAGGGTGCATCTGTCGACGAGGTGGTCGAGGTTGACGACCGAGGATGGCTAGTCACTGTTGCAGATCGCTTCGGAAAATATGACGACAATGGGTTCGGCTCAACCGGTGAATCGTCTGGAGTTGTGACGGGAGAGCCAAAGCTTCGCTGAGAGAAAGACAGCTCGGAGTCGTCGGGAGACTGCAGTGAAGAAGAAGATGACGAAGAGACAGCCGAGTGAAGATCGGGCGCATTGTAGGCCAACATGTTCGTTGTGGAGATTAACTCAACCGGTCCAGAGATCTTTCCCCGCTTGATAGTCCCCGCAGTGAACTTGACCTGACCTTCGCGATAGGGCATCGGCGCAGAGACCTCGGGACGCTTGTGGCGCTTGGTAAAGGCTCGAGTTAGGGTCGACATTGTGAGTTGCAATTGGATAGAAACCTGGTCGGTGTTGTAATCGGATTGACGATGGACT